ATTTTCTTTTTCAACTAAATTTAACTTCTTGACAAGAGGGTCGGTTTCAAATTTCGGTTCACATACCTCCTAGATTAAAATATCTCTATGTCAACTTGATGACCATAATTGTCATAAATGCGAAATGCAACAAATAGTTATGAAAGAGAATTTACCACATCCGAATCATAAAGCGGGCGAGGGCCGATGGGGACGGACATCAAGACCATGGCACTATGTATAAGAAACAATCATACAAAGTAAGAAAATTATACAAGTAACTATATAAATCATACAATCATACAAGTAACTATACAAATCAAGTACAACATAAAAAATTAAATACCTAATAATAATCTGGATCGTCGTGTTCAATAAATGCTTTAGGATCAATAAATGCATCATCATCATCACTATCGAATAATGACGTGCTCATCATCATCATTAATAAATGCATCATCATGTGGAAGGCCACCTTTACGTAATCGGTCAAGCATTGACAGGTCATCCGCAGTAGTAACCTCTTCTAGTTAAGGTTCTTCTTGTTCCGGCTTAGGGGTGAAGTCGGGTTCACTGTCGCTGTCTACTTCAATGTTCTGGGGTGAAGTAGAGCGGTTCTTGAAACGCTTTTTGGTCTGCGTCTTCTCACCCATACCGTTGTCTACCACAACATACCTAGATGAATTGTAAATGGGACAATAGTTCAAGTCTGCATACTGAAGCCTAAATAAGGCACATCCTTTCTCACAGGCATGTATCTTCTTATACGGCATCTTAAGAGCGCGGAGGATTTTGTCTGACTGGTACAGGTTTGCAGGTAGTACATGGCCTTTGGGTAGAAAACGTCCAAATATTGTCATCATTGCATCGTAGCATTCTCTGCCCAAGTTGAATTGAGCCTTCAGAGCCATTATTTGTGAGATGGCATCCAGCTGATAAAGCTCAGTGTGCTCGTGGAAAGGATGTTTTGAAGACTCCAACATTTCATTGAACGCCTTTGCAGATTCCTCCATCTCATCGTCCGAGTCCCGAGCATCATCAAAGTCTTGCACCATGTCTTGCATCCTGGTACCATGCTCGTCGGTGCAACGACGAAGCACCTCAGCTCTGGCACGCTGGGCAGACTCCCCATGAAATGTCCACACCGTATAATCTGCCATAAAACCCCTCTTCTACAGGTGTTTGCCCATTTCATCCTATGTCCTCTTGTGCCAATTGTTGCACCCGGCACAGGGGCATCATGTTGTCCTCTGGCCATTTGCAAATGCGGCTCTCAGAAACCCCTTGGTTTTTGTTAACCATTCAATGGTCATGTCTTCCTAACTAGTGTGACCGTGTACATCCACACACGATTAGTCATCTTGCCTAGCTATTGTACACA